CCTTATTTTAAATTTTTCTCTAAAAGGATAAGAGCATTCGAATTTACATAGTCGCTAAGACAATTAAAGATCGATAAATAAGTTAATCTGTAACCTAGGGTCGTATTCTAGAACTCTATTCAATGCTCAAGTCAGGACTTGAGTATGATTCAAAGCACTAGAAATCATACTCAAGTCCTTGCCATTAGGGTTGTATTTCCAGTGCCTGAAATCATACTCAAGTCTGCTCAAATCCTGACTTGAGCATTGAGTACAGTTCTGGAATACGACCCCTAGACTTGACTGATTAATTATGATTGTAATAATAAGTTTAGATTACTCGAATGCCATTTTTGAGACTAATTCAGTTTCAGATTAATAATGATACCTCATAATGAAAGTTTGAATACGATGATTTCGATAATTAATAAAAAACTGATTTTTAACCTGTGTTCATTTTTACAATTTTGCCTGTTGTATTATTAAGAGGCTTTTCTAACTTAACCTGGCCGTATCTAGTTTAACCTGTCAGTTTCTAATTAACCTACCTCTTATTTGCTAGAAAACTGGCTATTTCTTGTTACCTTGTAGTGAAAGGTTCTCATTTTTACATAACAAATTGAATACGATATCATATAAATTACATCTAAACATTTTTTACTTTTTGTTAAAAACGGCAATTTTTTGAAAACTACCCTAAAATCATACGATTTGAAATTTGCACGATGCGGCCGGCATTCACACGCGGGTGAATTTCACTTTCCGAATTTCAATGGCACTTTTTGAGTGATTTTGTAAAACCCTTATTTCTTTTGGGTATAAGGTCTTAAACGTACAAATAAAATCAAGCAATGTCAATAATTATAAAATCACAGAAATATTTAAGTTAAACACAACAAAAAACGATATTTTAGGTCACATGAATGATTTTCTCATAAACATAAATGAGAAAGACGGCACAGTAAGGAGAAATTATTATTACAACACACATTTTATCGTTCACAAAACAAACATTTAACATGTAACATATATTTTAATATAACTTCTTGTATCAAAATGCTTCTCATCCGTATAAGATCATCTATCTATCTATATGTAATTAATAAATAAATCTAAATAAGTATTTTGTTAATGTCATATAAACTTTGTTGTACATCATATATCATCATCACCACCATCAACATCATCAACATGATCACCATTATCATCAGCATCATTACCATTCACATCATCATCACAATCATCGTCATCATCATTACAATTATCATCGTCATCATCACCACCATCATCATCGTCACCACCGTCATCACCACCACTATTACCATCTAATTGTTATATTTGAAGTAAATATTTGGCTTAAAGTAACTATTTGACTTAAAAGTAGACAAGAATGAGAGCGACAATAATGATATTTGGATACATTTTTTATTGTCAAGTGTGTAAAATATGCTGAACCGTTATAAAAGTGCATGGATTTTAAAGTTCCCTTTATCTGATTGATGTACAATAAAGTTTATAAAACTATTAGTTAATACTTATTTAGATAGATTGCTTTACATGAATGAGAACGATTTAGTCACTAGCGCTGAAATTGGTATTTAAGTCGAGTTTTTGCTAAACGGGAGATGCACAGGTTACTTCACTGTGTACACTCCTATCCGATAGGAGCCCCTTCCCACGTGTACGAAGAGTGAAAATGATGCGGTATGAACTTTTGTTATTAGGAGGCTTTTAGTTGAAGTGACACTAATGATAAGAAAAATTGAAACACATTTTGTATTCCCAAGAAAACGTGTTTGTTTATAATAAATTGGAAAGTTACGGTATGTATTCGACGTGAAAGTTATTAGAGTTTATCCTCGATGAGAAATATTGCGATTTCCACGAGTGTTTAATTCTTTATCTTCTTTTCTTATAATTAGGGCGACGTGGAACCGGCTCCCGTGAATGAGAAATTGACAACTTTTTTAATTTTTATTTATTACTGTGACGTAGTAAAGTAGTCTTTTTATGCGTAACACAGACTAAGTAAGCAAGCAATCATATTAAATAAATAATGCTTAGCATTCATGTAATAACATAAAAGTTATAGAAAGACACATTTTTGGAGGTTATCTGAAAACGACTCACGCAACAAACAAAAACATGGATGTAAGAATTAGGACTTATCCATCCCGCATCTAGATATGACAGACAGAATTCATTTTTTAGTTTTTATCCACTTTTAGGACAATTATTTAGTCATATATATGATTTTTTTTTTAACTTAATTCGCATTTACGGTGTGTATTTATTATTATTATTATTGTTAATGTATTACTTTTACTAGTATATTTATTTATTTTGTACTCATTTAATTACATTATAATTATATATATAATCGTGACATACCGATGGTTGTGAAAGAATGAATGACTTAAGCATTTTTTTAAATCCAGCTATCGTTTTTGCATTTTAATGTAATTTGGCAGTTTATTGTACAGTTTAGCACGTTCATGTTCTATATTCTATTTACCGTAATTTGTTCTAGGTGGTCTGAGAATTAAGTTATTCATACTAGGCAGTTTAATACTCTGCAGTCGAGATTTCTGTTTAAAACTAATGACAGTATTTATATTATTGTTTAGGATTTTCCTTATTAGCATGCAAGTCCAGTACACATAAGATTTTATAGAAGAAGAGATTAATGGTAATCTTGTTTCTTTATATGTTTTATCCGTAGGTGTGCAATAATTATACCCGAAAAGTATTTTAATTAGCTTGTTTTGTTTAATCTGAATCTCACGCAGATTACTTTTACTAGCAGTTCCCCAGACTTCAACCAGATAATCAATGTGAGGTTTTGTAAGAGAAGTGTAGATAAAATAGCGTACTTGTTTAGGGAAGCATTTCTCGTTTCCACACAATGCACCCGTTATACATAGTAGTTTAGATTTTATTTTTTCTATATGTGGCTTTCAAGTAAAATGATTATCTAATACTATGCTTAAATATTTTTCTTTAGTGTTTCTTTTAATTACTTAATTGTTTATTTTTAGTTCTGTTGGTGTTAATTTTTTTATTCTTTGCTGAGAAGATGACGTAGCTTATTTTTGATACATTAATGGTTAATAGCTGATAGCTCTCTCTTAATAGTGATGTTGTCATCTTCAGGTTGTTTTCGTTTATTTCGAATTGTTACTTGATTCAGTTCACTGTCCAAAGTTGACTCCGATAAGTTTGGTTGCGAACCGCCAAGTCTAGTACGAGTGCCACGTCCAGACGGTGAGCGTAGTAGGCTATTCATCGTAGATCTGTGTTGCAGTAACTCACTTGTTGTGGACACACGCCGAGTGCGAAAGTGGAGAAAATAAGGAGGCTGTCTCGTTTCCCCGTGGATATGAAGAGTACACTAGTACACTCGGAAGATTGAGGTCTTAAGTGATGCACAGTGCTTAAGCCAAAGTGTGTCTTTAGTAATCAGTAATTTAAGGTGATAATTGTATGAACCGAAATATAAAATAATCTGCAAAAATTGTTAACACGTCCGTCTTACGCGCTCGAGCTTTTACTGATTACCGTATCCATTCCATAAAATATTCGTTTCTTAAATCGAATGAATGTCTATTCTAATGCCATTTAGACCATACTTTAGTTAAGAATAAAGTTGTACATACATATTTCAATGTTATTGGGTATATTAAGTGAGAAAAAACAATGGCTAAGGTAATTAGGCTGAGGACACCGAAATGGTTACGGTAATTAGGCTGAGAGAATAGATAGATGACAGAATGGCCGGTACCTAACCTTGCTACAGTACCGGTATAAATAAGTGCATGCATTTTTTTGGTTCCTGTACGGTAGCAAGTAATATTTGCTTGTAGAATAGTAATCTTGTAGTTTTGTTTTCATACATATTTGTATTAAAAATAACTATATAGGTTGTGTACAGGGAACAACGGTGCCAATGTTTGGTTTCCTTTAATACCCGTTTCCTTTGGTACCCGAGAATCAAACGCAGAACCTCTTATAATACTAACATTGGTTATGATAAAGTAACAATATGAGAAACATTGGGGTGTTATATTAAAATATTGTATTACTTTATTCCCATATATGTATAATAGTTTTCATATGATTAAACAAAACAAATTGTCGTATTAATGTCAAACAACATCTACATGGATAGTGTTTTAGACAAAAACCTCTCTAGTATGTACCTGTACCTAGGTACATATTAGAGAGGTTTTTGTCTCTACAACTACGTCAAATAAGTCAGGTTAATCGTGACAAAAATATAGTAAATTTTCATGTCCTAAAACGACCTAAAATTCCATTGCTGAGATCTCCAATATAAATATATTGGAGATCTCAGCCGAAACTAAGAAATAATTTTACCCTTGTGTAGTAGATAGCGTCGTTCTCATTAAAGCGGCAAAAATATAGGTGTTAGGTAAATAACTGGCTTCAAACATTAGTTCTTCCTACATTATAAATATCACAAAATCGAGATTATTTTAGATTCGTAAAAACATATTTTGAAATGCAGACACAATGGTAACATGCAAAATTTTAGAAATTACAATTTGTACATTTATAATCACTTATTATGTATATAAAAATCTTTGTAATTCGCTTATAATTTTTTATACAAATTACCCATAAATAATTCAAAAATAATGCTGCGTCTACATAATATTACTGTTATATTATTATAACATACCCACTACTTTAAAATTTACTAACATTCACATTAGCTAAAAAAGGAACAATAATTTAAAAATATGGAATCAAGTCAATGGAATACAATACAGTTAAACAGAAAACATGAAATCTGTAAAACACGATACTTGTATTATTGTTCGTAGTACCAGCAGCTTGCCAAGTAGCAAAGTAAAAAATATTATAGGCCCCGCGTTAGCAGGGCGACAAAAAATTATCTAAGACTCATTTGAGTGTTCCCCTCCACGGAAATCTTTAGTAAAAGGCGAAAGATTTATGCGTTTTGAAGGGAAACCAGAGTTAACAGGGTCGCTGTTCGAGTTTCTTACATACAATCGCGCGTAACAAAACGATAGCGCGTTTCATTTCGATCCTAATGCCATCTAGCGGATTTTTTAGGAACTTAATGTGTATGGTATTCCTCGTACAAGGGAAATTGATAATGGTGACTTTCAACATAGTTCATGCTGTTTATGTGCTATGGAATCATAAAGCTTCTACGCGCACCCAAAGGCCATTTTCAGCTTTCAGCAACATACCACTTGTGCAAAATTTTACAGGCTTTTCCGTTTTCTCGCAGGTTGAAAATTTGAAGTTCTTTACGAGAGCTACCATCGCCGTTTTAGCGGAAAGCATGGCGAAACGAAGACCTAGAAACAAGAAACACGTAGGAGATTAAACATTAATTCTAAATAGACTAAATTGACAATAGCAACTTTTTTCACATATATTTTTTATGACTGAAATATAATCTATATCAAACATATAACATAACATATGTATTTGTTTGTACAGTGTTGTTTTTGTATTTAAATTCAATAATTTAAAGTGTGTGTGCATTGAGTGAGCACCCTCTGTAAAATGTTTAAAATGTGTTAGTCATTTAAAAGTAAAAGTTCTAAAACAATTGTAGAAACCAATCTTTCTATTTGTAAAAAGATAAAACAAGAGAAAAATAACTTAATGTGTGCTCACTCAGTTCTCACAGAGGGCCAGTCAGATCTACAAAAGTAATATGTTTACATATAATATTATTGTACTAGTTTTTAGTAAAAGTTTAGTTAAACTATCGGTTATAATTACAGATCGATTAGTGCGTTTTTCAATTTTTTACAAATACTTTATCATGCTCACTCAATCCGCACGTTTTTAAAAGGAACTAAACGGACTAGGTTTAAATACTTAGTCTAAGTATTTAAACCACCGCTTTGGTTCCCAGCTTTGACTATGGAAACCTTAGACTATGGAAACTAAAGGACATGTTACGTTGACATATATAAATCAGACGTTATATGTATATGATGCATTTCGACGTCGAAAACATAAACATATTATTGTCTTTGTTTAACTATTACGTGCCGTCTTAAGCCAAAAGAGATAGTACATTGGTCTGTGTCAAACACGGGAATCGAAAATTCGTAACGTCATTTTAAATGTCAACCGTGGCCATTTCAAGTACATGAGGTACATGATACCGTTGTCAAAGGGAAGTACATCAAATGTCAAAACAAATGTTTTTCCAAATGTATTATTGAATTATTCACATGTATTATAATTAAATTGGACAAAAATATTGACAGTGAGAATAATTAGGTATTAATAAAAATGCGACGCTGCAGCATTAAAGGATGCGGCTTTAGAAAAACTGCAAATCAATCGAATGTTACATTGCACAGGCATGTGTTATTTTTTTGTCTATAAATCACACAATAGCCCGAATATTTTATGTAATTAGACTTATTTAAGTAGTTTATTTATAAATCTTGCCAATTTTTGCTTTTGTTACTTTAGATTGCCTGTTTGTTTGTATATTTTGATGATTGTTGTTAACGATTATTTTGAGATAGTGTTGATCTTTTAAGCATACATATTATCGATATTCTGTTATTAAAACAATTCACTATGAGGTTTTTATTGTTTTATTATTATTATTTCAAGTTTTCCTACAAATGAAAAAAGGAAGAAAGAATGGTTGGAAATCATAGGACTGCCGAATATAAACGTTGGATCAAAGACCATCTTCATTTGTTCGCTTCATTTTGAAGAGTCAAATTTTAACAGAACTTTAAATGTAACTAGATTACATGACAATGCTATTCCATCATTAGGTTTATTGGTAAATAATTTTATGTTCAATTTAGATTAAACAAGACTCATTTACTAGCTATTCTCAGTTCCTGAAAACAAAATTATCCACTCGTTTCTGATTTTTCCCTATGACAACTCTAACTATTAAAAATGACTATTTTTTTAAAGCCTGCAATACAATGACAACATACCAACGTATAGACAGCCTATTTGCCTTGCCTTGCCTGATAACATGATAACTTGAGGGTATGTTAATTTTCTTTAGTGAAGGAGTACTAAGAACGGATTTTTCAAATTCATCCCCTAAGAGGGCGAAAACGGTTAAAAACGTTTGCATGAAAAATAATATTCCTTGAAATTACAAAGACGAAACTTTGCATAAATATTTTACAATAAAAATGGTAAAAAAATGGCATGACAGTTTTTAAAAAATGCGGCGAAATGGGGTAATAAACTTTGTATGGTAACTTTTTAACACGTGGTGCGATTTGGTTCATACTTGAATATTTTTCATTTGTATAAAAATTGTACGCGGACGAAGTCGTGGGGAAAAGCTAGTACATGATAATTGTTGATTTCCGATAATTGATTTTTACAACTACTTCCATTATTTCTGTGTTAAAATTGCTTGATGGATTCATTTGCTTAAGAAAGCCCGGGAATTAACGGGAATACTAGAATCCGCAGAAACCTGAATAGACTTGTACTTGACGGTTAGTTAAAAGACGTTATGTAAATATGTACTAAAATGTAGGTTAAAGGCGTACCTCTTAAAGTAATTTTTATATTTTATTTAGTAAGTACAATTAATACTACTTAATGTTAAATACAAGTAAAGTAGGTATAATTAAGCAAGAATGCGCATGTCGCCAACAAACTGCACAGCAGTTTGGTGACTTTTACTAAATAAGTTACCAGTTGTAATGTTGAAAATAATTTTTTTTTTAAGTTTAAAAATGTGTGTTGACATTTATAATAATATACCACTCGAGATTAAATTATCAGACTTGTGTATGTTTAGGCATACTTTGGTTACAGTAAACTAAAGAAACAAAAATTCAAGCCATACATTTGCATGTCGATAATGACTTATCGATAGATTATGGTACAACACTAAAGAAATCCGCCATTTGTAACTTTCAAAGTTTGGTAATATGCACGTTGATTCTGTACTTAGGGCAGCTCCTTTCTTTTATTTTTTTCCATCCTCTAAGATGGAAACCAAAGGGCACGTTATATTGACATATATAAATCAGACGTTACATGTATATGATGCATTTAGACATTGAAAACAAACATTTTATTGTCTTTAACTACTGCGTGGCGTCGTAAGCGAAAAGAGATAGCACTACATTGATTTATGTCAAACACGGGAATCGAAAATACGTAACGTCATCTTAAATGCCAACTGTCCTCATTTTGCCATTTTTGCAGTACCCTTTGGTAACCGTTTCCGGTTGTCAAAGGAAAGTACATCAAATGTCAAAACCAATGTTTGGCCAAATGTTTTAGTGAATTATTCGCATGAATTACAATTAATATAAATTGTAAGCAGACATATTATCGATATTCTGTTATTAAAACATTTCACTACGAGGATTTTATTATTTCATTATTATTATTTTTAAAGTTTACCTACAAATGAAAAAAGAAAGAGAGTGGTTGGAAATTATAGAACTGCCGAACAGAATTGAATTGAATTGCAGAACCGAATTGGATCAAATACCATCTTCGTTTGTTTGCTCCATTTTGAAGAGTCAAATTTTAATAGAACTTTGAATGTAACTAGATTACCTACATGATAATGCAATTCCATCGTTACATTTATTGGTAAATAACTTTATATTTAATTTTGATTAAAATGGCTCATTATATGCCTAGTAATAATCATACTATAAAAACAGTTTCAACATTCAAGCTATTCATTTGCATGTCAATATTGACTTATCTATGATTATGGTACAACACTAAATCCGCCACTTGTGGTGGACATTTTTGGTTAGGTACGTTTATTCCGTAGATAGGGCAGCTCCTTTCCTTTATTTTTTCATCCTCTAAGTATTAATTCATCAAGCATAACATCGGTTTTTATTCAGGAAGTAAGTCATACAGACGACAAATTCCTGCGCGGGCCTTTCAAAACTCAATTTTATGAATTTTTTAACCGACTTCAAAAAAGGAGGAGGTTCTCAATTCGACTATGTTTTTTTTTGTATGTGTGTTACGCGATAACTCCGGTATTTGTGAACCGATTTTCATGATTCTCTTTTTGTTGGAAAGAGGGTACCTCTATAGTGGTCCCATTTCATTTTGAAGAAAATCATCCACCTCTAAGGGTGGCTGTTCACGCATGAAGAATCATTTTATTATAAGAAGCAATTATTTTAATGGTTGATTTTGCTATTCTCTAATTCAAGGCGTTTTTCTCTCTCAATATACTGTGAGTAGTGAGAACTGATTTTTATTATCTCCTGTGTCAAGTCCCGTATAGTGGCGAACTAGGGGATATTTCAAAACTACTTGGCAAATAAATGTGATTCCACGTACTTTTGAGGTCGGTTTTTTAAGTATTTTGATTATCTTATTTTCGCAACAACTGCTAGTTAAAGAAATGTGAATATGACGACAAAACATGCATTTACAAGGTGTTAAATTTTATAAAAGGCTTTTTGGAAAATGTGTTATTGTTAATTCTTAAAAAAATTTTAATAAGTGTAATCAAATTTTAATATTACGAGTATATTGTAGAGGAAAGCTTAAAAATGTAACACTATTTACTATATAAAGTGTAGCGGGAAAAAAAGGGTTAGCAAGAATATTAACAACAAGAGCTTACCAATACAATTTCTAGGACCAACGCCAAAAGGTAAAAACAAATGCGACGGTCTATTTTTTTTTTCATCATACATAAACCTCTCAGGCTTGAACTTTTCCGGCTCAGGATAGTAGTTAGGGTCCATGTGGATACCAATAACGTTTATACATACAACATCGCCGACGTCAACCATTACATTGGTTCCTGGGAGAGTATATTCTTTGACACATAACCTGTCTAGTCGGCCAAGGGGTGGATAAATGCGCAGGGTTTCTGAAAATTTAATAAAAGAAACATTGATTTTAATAAGTAACGATATGACTAATTCATTGTGGTCACTGTTGTGATTAGAACCTGCGTAATATTGTTGAGAACTGGCTAACTGCACAGATAAAACAACGGAAAGAAAACAAAGAAAATTGTAGTTCTATACAAAAAGTAATAGGTACATGATTTTTTGCACGTGTGCAAAAATGGAGACACGGTACTATTGACCTAAAACTCGTCGCCGAACATTCTGATGACTTTTAATGAAAAGTGTCTGAAAATGTTTACATTAAGTAAAGACTTACGTTGGGTTAAGGCATTTTAATGATATTTTTTATTTTAATTGAACATTATTTTCTCGGTTTCGAGTGTTTGTCACAAGCGCCCTTTCAGCTAACTGCGGCAGATGACTCTACCGACTATTTATTTCCATTCGTTTAATTAGGTTTTTCGAACATAATTTCAAGAATCACAACGGCTAAAAAAACTTTTAAAATGAGAAACATCTATTAAAAGCAAATATTTCAAAAAGGATCAGGAAACGAATGATAAAGGCTGACTCATTTCACTCTCCCAAACGACTCCAATACTTTCTCCCTTTTCATAACAAAATTATGCTTGCGCAAACTCTTCTACTCCCCTTACTCGACGTTTGTTATTTAGATGTGACCGAAGAGCTTATGAATAAACTAGAGCGCCTACAAAACTTGGCTATCCGATTTATTTTCGGTCTCCGTAAGTTTGACCGTGTTTCCGAATTTCGCGGTCGGCTAAAATGGCTCCCAATTCGCATTCGCTGTGATGTGCATATCCTGTCCGCCCTTTTTTAATATACTTCATGACGCCAACTGCCCTTCCTACCTTCGTTCCCGGTTCTAGTTGCTACCCCCTCCCACCCGTTCAAGGCGTCCGTGCATCACTAAGATGCTCGTTTTTAACTCCATTTCTTCTCGTGCAACGCAGTTGTGGAACAGACTTCCTTCCCATATCCAGTCTAGCCCGTCTATCGCTTCTTTCAAGAAAAGGTTGAAAGCGCACTTTCTCGCTGAACTATCTAACTATTAGTAATCATCTTATAGTATTTTTTTTACATACTTATTTATGTAGTATATATGAATTTGTGTACCTACATGTATATACTACACTATTTACATATTGATGCTATTTATTATTATTCATTATAATACTTATGCAAGAAACGGTATTTTTTTATTTATGTATATTATATTTCTTCCGCGCTCTCTCTTGCATGCTATTGCCCGTTCATAACCTTAGCTCTCACTGCCTTGGGTTAGCTGGAAAAGATCTCGTTTAGAGATAAGTCCACCTTCTCACTTTCTGTTAATCTAATATTTCTGTTGTATTTTATTTGGTGCAATAATGAATATATAAGGTGTACTTTTGGAGTATTGCATTGTATGGTAGTGAGACAAAGACAGATTAATTGGAATAATTTGAGATGTGATACTGAAGAAGTTGTTTCAAATGTGGGTGTTTGAGGTACCGTCGTTGTTTCCGATTTCCATAACACGAGTGCTTAGTTACTTACTTTAAACCTTACCTAAAAGAAATCCTTCAAGCATCGGCAACTGCATTAGGAGATCATAGCTTAATTCTTTTCCTTCAGTTTCTTCCTGTATATTAGCCCTCAGGTTATCTTGTAGTTCAGGGTGTGTTGCTAATGTGTATATGGCGAACGATAATAATGTTGCAGAGGTCTCGTAGCCTGCTAATAAAAATAGCAAGGCTTGTGCGTCGATTGTATCGTCGTCCAAACCTGAAACATTTTATATTAATTATAAGATATATATATATTCGTTTTATGTGTGAACAAGACAATGAGAAGAAATTTTCTTTCATAATACAAGTACGTAAATAAGTAGATTACTATTTATTCTGCCATGAATAAATAAGTAATATCTATTGTGTAGAGAAAACAATATTTTTTGTTAGAATAACAGTTTGTTTGTGCCATTATAATACACTTATTGTAAATAATACGTTGATATTCCTTGCTTAACAAGATAACTGTGTTATTATGACATGACATTTATTATGTGCACTAATGTAACAAGATGACAATTTTAAGGTCATTACGCGATTACCTACGAAAGAAAATTTATTCTCATAATGTTCTAAATTATCTTCTAAATTATCTAAGTTATGATGTTCGAGAAGTCGAGCTGTAGATGGCCACAACGTGGAAAATGAACATGTGAACGATCTGCGAATGGTAAAGAAAACACTCGTAATGTTGTGAATCTTTTTCGACGAGGACGTGTCAATACGATGTTTTCCTTCACCGAAAAGCTCATGGTACATTTCAAATTAAATTTCGCACATACATTTCGAGAAACTCAGAGGTGCCCGCCTAAGATTCGAACCTACGACCTCTGCTTGACAGGCGGTAGGTCAAACCATTAAGCTACTACGGCTCTAATCGTAATGCTTACATACAAATAAAAGGAACTTACATTTCATGTTACCTGATTTTTTGTCTTCCTCATATGCGTCGAGGAGTAATTGTAAGAAATCATTTCTTCTGTAATAAAATTTTAATTTCATACTCATGCAAAGCAGACATTACTATCATAGTATAATAGTTTTGAATAAGACAAATTCCAAAGAACCAACTTTACTTAACTTTGATTTAAGAGAGAAGTCGACAGTTTGTGCGAATTTTATAAAGTCGTAGCGTATTTTAATTATTTGAGTTTATATTCTACTGTCATATTTTATTATGTTTTGTAAAATGTTATAATAAAAAATAATAAAACTGTACGAAGTATGATAAAAAATACAACAATAAGTATGAAGTCTCAGTAGGAGCAATTAACAAAGGAAATTTACCTAACTCCCGATTGCCTCCTCTCAGCTTTGGCAGCCTTTAACATTCCCATCAATTCCTCACAAGTCTCGCGATGTATGAGAGATATGTTAAGATATTGGAACATTTTAGGCATGAATATGAGAACAAAAAATATGAGAAACTTCTTCGATTTTGTCATGTAGTTGAATTTTTCGGCCACCTGAAGTGTTAAAATAAATTTTGTTTAATATTTGTAGAACATTTCTAAAGTTGCGGTAAAATTTATTAATTTGATTCCTAAAATGGTAAATTGTATTTTATTCAAAATCTAATATATTTCATTGTCGTATAAGTTCATTTGCTGTAGTTGCAATAAAAATCACTTAATTGAAGTTACACCTACCTTAACGAAATGTGCGTTTTCGTCATCTAAAGCATCGCATTTAATACCAAATGCGCAAGCGCCTATAACTTCCAGAGTGAGATGGCCCATTGTGTCCTTCATTTCCACATCTTTTTTATCTGCAAAAATATTTATTAAATAAAATATCCGATTAACAAAAAAGAATTAACAAAAATGTAGTCCTGACATATCAGGACAAGTACATTTTTCACCATAGTGAAAAATATACTTGTCATGTGTTGTATAAAGATTAGTTCTTGAATGTCGAAAAATTGAAAGTTGATAGATGTGGATCCTCCTGAATATGCATGAACCGCAAGAATTTAAGAGAACGAATTTCGTCTAATGACAACACAAATATTTTTGCCAAAAGATGGTTCCCCTATCACTTTACGGTCCCAAAATAACACGTTAACCTTTCACTTACAGACATTCTAAACATACATTGTGTTACCTTAATCGCATTGACATAAGGTTGATTTTCGTCAAGACTGCAGATATATTTGGATTGTTAAATTGCTTGGAAATATTACATTCCAACTTACCATACTGTTTTAAAAACTCAACCATCTTCTGGGCACTATGTTCCATAAGAGGTAGCATTTTCTTCAGACGGAGGGAATTGAAAGTTGGTGTGAGAGTACTTCGAACTGCCTTCCATTCTGTGCCCTAGAACATAAGCATATGCAATGTTTTACAACTAATTTCACAGATACTGTAAATATTATTATCAAAGGTCAACACTAGTGTGATAATTTTCGACCCAAAGGTCATTTCATTTGACAATTTAAAATAGTTACCTATAGTTTGCCTAGTAAAATTCGCATTCGTGACTATATTATTCAGCAATTTCATTACTGCTTTTTGTAATAATTATGACCTGGGTAATAACTATGAATAATACCTTTTTACTGGCACTTGTTGTACTTAAAAATAAAGTGGAAGTATATATAGTATAAAAACTACATAGAATACATTAAATTAATTAATTAATGTATTCTATGTATAGATGTATACATAGAATACATTAAATTTTTATTGAATTGATATTCAATTATTTTTTGCGAAATTATTCCACTGGTTTGTTATAATTATTAATACAAAGATCGAACACTCAGAAAAAATTCCTTCGATCCGGCCGGATTCGAACCGCCGTCTTCTAGCTTACGGTGCCTGACGCTATACCAACTAAACAGCGTCTCTCAACTCTATTACTAAATATCTGAGGGTTATACATTTCCCCACGCTGTTCTGGCGTTTAAATCTTTTGACTGACTGAGACTGCCTTTTGAATAGGAGGTAGGTCGTTCCTATTTTTGCGCGACATATTTGAAGCACAACTTCGTGAAGCACACAAAGATATTTTAAAAAGGAAACCCATATCGCGCTTTCTTCCATCATGACTGTTCAACCTCTTCATACAAACAAATTACTTAATCAGAAATATCGACTGCACCACAAATACCCAGCCCAACACAATATAAAAAAGTTAGTTTCTACATTGAACAGATCGGGGATCGAACCTGCGACCTCAGAGACGGCGTCACCAAGAAAACTGGTGTTCAAGTCACTTGACTAAGGAGGTCGTCATTTAGTATAAATATACATATACTCAAGAATGTATATGGAGGTTAGTCAATATTTTGTATTTGCTGAAGTAAGGTTTACATGGGTCAGTTTGTTTAATATTGTCCAATATTCTTATGCATTTCTTTTGTAATATGAAGATATCCCATGGTGTGGTACAATTTCCCTAAATTATTATACCATAAGTGACTTTTGAGTTAATGAACACGTAATATGCTGCAAGAGGGGTCATTCATATTATTTCATACAAACACAGTTCATTTTCACAATTAATTTTAAGGGTAATTTAAATTCTTATATCTCAAAAGTAAGTACCTAAAGTGGTTAAGCACCGAGTCATGATAACATTAATTCATACCTTCAGAACAAGGAGTGATCTACGTAAATATCGAGGTTCCTTCAGGTTGAGAGAGTTGCGGTCCACAAAATGGTCAAAGTCCCGAATTGTCACTGCTTTGATTAGGTCAGGGTTAAACACATATAGAGATGGTCGCCTTCCTTCAAATGTACCTGGATGAAAATAAAAAACAGTCTTAACTGAGATATCTTGAAAAAGAAAAGTTCGTAAATTACATATAATTATAATAAATACATTTCATTTATTATAATTATCAAATATGTAACAATAGGAAATGAAAGTTTTTTCAGATCTATATACATATCGACTGCTGCAACGTACAATATCGAAACTACAAAATGCATACTTTACAGTAGACCAGTTTGAAGTTATATTTAGACTTAGAACAATAAGTTTTAATAGTGTCGTGAAAGTGACACCCAATTATGATAGCTAATTTTATGTGTTTTCTTAGGCCTTAGCATGATTTTAAAAAATGTATGTGTTTTTCTAGATATTTCACTTTCAACAGTTTACCTTGTTAGAATTTGCTAGAAATTAATCGAAAGTGGTAGATTCGTAAGGCGATTATCACACTGCACCGCGCCACGCGACGGAGCGCGAAGCTGCGTTTTTTAACGTTGTACTGAAGTATTTTATTTTGTATGGAAAACACGCGCCGTCGAACGCACCGACAACGCTTCTCGCGGTTTTACCGCGGCCCCGCGCGGAGGGGCGCGGCGAACCGCAGGGTATGGGACACTGCGCTCCGCACTACCGCGCAGATTTTTAAGCTTAAGGACGTGTTCAGTTTTCTACAATAGATCTCGACGTCCATAAATTTATATTTGCTGTTGAAAATCGACCAAATTTATCTTAATATTCTCCTAAATCTTTGTAATGAAGTTCAAATTATCCATTTATTGATCTGGGTCGTAAAAAGGGATGTATCCAATATCTTCGGTGTCTTTTTATTCGAGTAAACGAAAACCAAATAGACAGTATAACTGCAGCGTCCTGAATGAGTTCTGTATTATTAACTATTCTTATCAAAGAAGGATCTCGGCTACATATACCATCACTACGGTGATCAACTGCGAAGCGAGTACTTTAAGTGAAGGGGGGCCGCTAGACCGCTGCCTACGCGCAGATTAAACCGCGCGTTGACGCAGATCTGCGTCTCCGCCACCGTGCGCGTGATTCCGCGTCTCGCGCTCTGTCGCGTCGCGGGGGTGCGGTACAGTGTGATTGCCTTTGTATTCAGGGCTTGTAAAATTTGAACAAATATTGAATCTACCAGTTTCGGTACTTTTCATTGACAACTTTTATATAATGAATAAAAACACTGATTTTATAATTTACTAACGTATATTTATTAATTATGAAATAAATCAATTTTTTGTATGGAATTCATTACGAGTAACAGACAAATCAACTTTTAACCATAATATCTTAAATGAACTTTCGTACTGTAGCATGAGTTCTTTGAGTCTTTTTATGTAAATATTTTTTTTTACTTTGTAACATAAAATCGAAAAAATAAGTAACATGACAAGTTTAGTCTTCTTATTTTTTTATATATAATATCAAGGGACAGGACGAACAAGTTGTGCGCCTGATGGTAACTACACGCCCATCCATAACAGTTGCAGTGCCACTCAGAGCTTTAAATCGCTGTCACCCTTAGACATAGTTTGACAAGTCCATGTAAATGTAATTTCACCAGAACCCTTACGCTTCAAAACCGGAACGGAATAATGCTCTCAATTACTACTTGGCGGCACAAATAGTAAAGGTGTACATCCCTGGACGAATTCTTTCACAAGGAGCTGTTGCTAATTGTTACTTACTTGTTCGTGAAACACTAAGGGGTTTATAGAGTTCTTAGGTTTTCGCGATTGTTACACTAAGAAAATGAAACTATTTTTTTTGGGATCTAAATCGCCCGTATTTGTTTTTTCAAACAAACCAACGTTTCAAAAGATTCGAAAAAAAAAGTTGTTTAATTTCCTAATAAGATATTTATTACATAAAATTAATTTGTCAAGAATCTTTTACATTAGGAAAACTATATAAATATCACAAAAACCCGTGTATGAACACGAAATCTTTGTGTGATGTCGATATTATATTTATTACTGGCATACATGTAAAGGCTGTATATCACTATTGCGATTTTGCCAAGTGCAGTTTTCGGACCAAAATTCAATGTCTACAAAATCTAATAAACAGCTACCAGTTGGTAGTTTGCGTCGTTTGCTCCAAGTTTGCCAAAATTGTGTGGTCCTCTATCCCCATTATCGCAAGTAGTAAAATGTATCGGTAACAACGTGCTTTTAAAACAAAAGAGAGACACTTCACCAGAAAGGCAGTTGAGAAATTTTTGGAAATCGTATGTTGCATATATTACTTTTGATGCAGTTCTAAGTGCCATAATGTAAATTTTACAGTACTTGTGCTTTAGATTTTCGTGCAGTTTCCTTATTTGAAATGTGCTTGTCATAAGTCGACACCTGCTTTTCAGTAGGGCTTCATCATCATCATCAACCTTTTTATACGATCCACTGCTGGACATGGGTTTCCTCTCAGGCAAAGATTTAGACCATAGTCATATTTCCTCTCAGGCAAAGGTTCAGACCATAAACCAATGCGGTTGGGGACTTCACACATTTTCCGAGTTTTGTGAACCTTCTTCGATGTGCAGGTTTCATTACAATTTTTTTTTCATTATGATGTAATTGTTGTCACACACAGGAGATTCTAAAAAAAACATATTTTATAGTAACAAGCTATAATCATGAAATCAGAATAAATCGTATATATTTATTTTCAAACAAACAAAGGTTTCAGGGTCTTTACAGGTCTCATGTTCATGTCTGACTGAGATGGTAAAGTCGTCAACCAGTTATGCCTAATATTAATGCAAACCACCCTATTTTACACTCAGAATTAAACATTAAAAAAAATCGAATCTGCCAATTTACGAAATAGCTAGCGTAGAACAACATTGTAACTGGTAGACTCGATAGATGTTTTCTATAGAAAACCATGGAAAGTGGTACATTCAATAGTTCTAAGACTAGAAATAAACAAGTATACTGTAGAAAGTACCATTTACAACTTTGTCGAAATGACATACACCTAGAACACTATCAAATCTCCCCTTTTCGAAAGTTTTCTTGTTTGACCAGCCATCTGGTCACTTAGATAAGAAAGAACGAGACAAAGAACAAATTATTTTAAAAATATTTAGGAACTAGTTACGTAAGTCATATTTTAGATAATTTATTTATGATATTATGAAGGGATGTAACAAAATTGTAAATACTTACCGAGTTAATTATAATTTTTTTCATTAGTCGTAGTTTCACCGTGACGTTGTTGTTTATGTTTTATAATGAAATTAACCACGCAACTACCTCGGCTATTCATTTTTAAACTCCGATTTAAAAAAACAAAGAGTCAAACAAATAAGTAACTAAAACAAGCAAGTAAACGAAAGAGACATGCCCTCACCCACTCATATCGCATCGCAACACATACTGATGATTCAGTCAATTGCAAACTGTGCGCACACACCATCGCTTTAGAACAGCATTGATTGTTTGTTAGTTGATAATGTTTGTTGCTCATAGTGTGTAGTACCGATAGTATTCAATTTTAAACTTCCCTTAATATGATTTTTTTTACCAAACTATATATTTTTCTAATAGTATATCATATACTCTTACAATTGATGCAATAAAAAAAAATTTTGAATTTGCAGTTTCAATACTGTTTATTGTGGCAGTCGATATACTTATTAATGACTAATATTTTTCTTCTTTAAAGTAATGGCGCTTAAATAGCATACTAGCCAGAAAAATTACAATTATTTTTAATTTTGGAAGAGGCAAAGCAATTAAAATATAATTTAAGTAACAATCATAGAAGTAACAGGTATAGGTGAATATGGTCACATCAAAAGTGTCTAGGGATCAAGCACTTTTATGCCAATTATTGAAAATTTGGTTTTTAATTTTTTTAACACCTGTGGTTTTTAAGGTCAATTTCATAATTTAAAAAATAAATAAATTTAATTTTATATGTACAGATATTTTTATTTAATTTTAGTAGGCTAACCAAATATTCGGCTCAACTGTACATTACCATTGCACGAGTTGAGAGTTGAAATTAATATGGTGAATAGATTACATAATTAGCAGTCTAATCCTAAAATATTAGCTTTAGGAAACTCATAGTTTTGATAATAAAAATTATTGAAATATTCGAAAATAAATGATAGGAAACAGGTTTTGTAGGTTAGGAAAGCACAGCGTTTGGTTGGTGCAATATTTTTTTTGCAGTATTGAATTAAACAGCACAAATTAATACGTAATTGTAAATTTAACATAGAAATTTACTATAATTAGTATGTACGCTTTTATTTTTGAACAATTTTTTTTTTTTTGCAAAAATATAACGAAACGCAAAAAGGACCCCATGTTGTTTGTTGTTGTTTACTGTTTGATGTATGCATCAATTAGGATTTTGCGTTTTTGCCTGGTTTTAAGTTAAATTTAGTTTCTCATATAACACAGGAAGTGGGGACAGGGGGGGAGGTCTGGGGGTGGGTTTTTCCCGCTAGGGGTTCGGGGGGAGGGGTTTACCCCGCTCTTCGGTGCGAAAACATGATTTTTTGAGGTTATTTTTTTCGAATTTTCAAAAATTAATATCTCGAAAACTATTAACTTCCTAACTTTGAAACTTTGCACGAAGGGTCCCCCTCCCCTCCCCCTTCCCCCCTCTCACCCCTCAAATCGTGCGATGGTAATGTACAGTCCTTCCAAATATTCAGCAGTGGACGTCTTTTGGCTGAAATGATGATGAATCAAATATTTTTTTTAAATACAGACAATGAGCATAGTAGGCTCAGATTACAAATATTTTGTAGAAATATGACACTAATAACAGGTATGAATATGACACTTATTTCAATTCACTTTTAAAATGATTTTACTTCACTTTTATTTATAGTTAAGGACAAGGGAGACTTTGAGGAATGTCGCTCAAGTGTCTAATTTGTCAATTTTAAATTTATAACTTACCTCCATAAGGTTGGCCTTGAAAGTGTTTATAAATGTCCAACTGGAAATCGTGAAATGACTTCTTTCCAGTCAATCTGGGCCATAAAGTACCCAGAAAAATTGTAGGCTTCAGATAAGGCACCCCTTTCTTTTCGAAAAAATCAAATGTACTAGTGTAGTAAAAATATAGGGCGAACAATATCGTCAAAAATAATAACAACTTCCAATCTTCTGCTACGAAGGACAATATTTTTTTAGTCCCTCCGAAATGTTCGTAACTCATTATTTTTAACTTCCAAATTAATTTTTTTTGACACTTGGGACAAAGCGATAGCAAAATGCGCAAAAACAAAATTACGAGCACGCATGCACTCAATGATAATGCGTGTGTACTCCACTGTCTATTTTTCTATTCTAAAATCACTATAAAATAAAGTACTGTCTGTGGTTATAAATAATAATAAATATTGGTGTGTACTCCACGTGATGTGATCCGGTGATTGATGATTGACGCTGTTTTTTCAATT